CACTTATCTTCCGTTTTTCCCTGCTTTGTGGGGGGGGAAAGGCAAGTGGAAGGTGTCCCTGCTTGTGGCAGGAGTGGACTGAAATGCACTTCTAAGGTCCCTTCCAAGTCAAACCAGCATGGAACTCTGTGATTGCACACGAGTGGCTCGAAGCTCTCCGTGTGGGAGGGGCCAGGACAAGCACAGGCCTTGGGGCAGAGCCCTGGGGCAGCAGAGGCCACTCACTGTGCGTCAGGCTCGTGCAGCATGACAAAGACAGCCCACTCCCAGAGCCCCTCGCTCTCCAGCTGTGCGGCGTAGCTGCAGTTGAGCACCCCCCGGCTCTGCTGGGACAGGTGGCTGTAGTTCAGGGCCTGCAGCACCTCCCACAGGTGCCAGCTCAGGCGGAAGTCCAGCGGGTCACAGGTGACACTCCGGGGGTCCAGCAGCTGGTCCAGGTCATAGCACCTGGAGGGGAGAGAATTGTGCCCACATCATCCAAGCAGATATTGGTGCTGCTGTTCCTTCCCTTCACCCACCTCCAGTTACTCCACACGTGGTTGACACCACTGTGGGGTTTGGTTTGCTTTGTTAAAGATAAGTAAGAGGGAAAACTGTTGAATTCACCCCTTTCCCTCTGTCTTAGTCCCTTACAGACCACTCAGTGCCTTCAGAACTGCAGAGCAGCATTGCTGCACTCTTCAGACACACAAAGCACCTAAACCCCCACAAATGTGCTCCAAACCTTAAGGTTCCCCATCTGGAGCCTCCCCAGCATCACCATCTGCTGCCAGGGGCACATCTGGGGCTGATTATGCACTGCTCTAAGTGGTCCATGCTGATTCCACACCCCGGGTTTGGCCCTTCAGGGGGTCACTGACAGACCATGACTCTTCTAAGCACTTCTGGACCTCTTTCCCCACTCACCTGTCGCTGTAGAGCTTTAACAGATGGAAACAGACATCTCTCAGGGGCCTCCCTGCACTGTCATCCTCCTCAACAACACAGCCAGAGTCTTCCAGGTAGGGAGGCAGAGGGCAGCAAGCATATTTATCGCACTCTGGGGTGTTCTGGGGGGATAGTTTTAACAGCAAGTGTAAAGAGAAAGTTCTGAACAAAAGCACAGCCTGAATGCCAGAGCTCAGCAGGCTCAGAAGAGCCTCTGTAACCAACTGCACCTGCAGTTGGGACTTTCACGGACCACCATGACAAACCAAAATGCTTAGGCAGGTTGATGTCTCCCACTGAGCTCTGGAAGTACAGCCAACCCTCACACACACACCCTGCACTCCTGAAGGGTTTTCCACCTGGACAACCATGTGTGACTGATGGAATGAAGGCTGGACCATCCCTGCGAGCCTTCTCTCTGCGACTACGCAGAGTGCGGACAGCCAAGAGCAGCACTGAGCACACGGAGTCAGCCACAGCAGATCCATAGGGAAGTTTCACTGAAGCTGAGGAGTCTCAAGTGCTGAACACCTCACAGGGGCACAGAGAATACGGAAGCAAACACCAGTGACAAGCTCCCAGAGGTGCTGCTGTGCCTGGGCTGCCTTGAGGTCGCAGGGTGTAGCTGAGCTGCCTTTAGTTACTCGTTGAACATTTCTGGTATGGGAGCCATACCCAACCCCGCTCTGAGTCCCTGGCAGTGCTCCCTGGCTGCTCCCAGGAGCCCCAGAGCAGCAGGGACACTCGCTGGTGCCCTGGCAGCCCCGGGGGCAGTGGTGGGACTCACCTGGAATGCAGCCTCATACATGGCCAGGGCGCTGGGGATGGGAGCAGTGGGTGGCAGCAGGTACCAGAGGTGGATGGCGATGCAGCGTTTCCAGTCCAGCAGGGAGCACACGTTGATGCTGAGCCGCTCCGACAGCTGCCACACCTGGGGACAGGCACAGTCAGCCCCAGGGCACACACTGCTTCCCGGGGCAGGGCACACAGTGCTGCACGGGGGAAGGGAGGGAAAAAGGGGGAGGTGTAATGGGAAGGGGAAGTGGGGCCAGGGGCAAAGGAGAGGGAAAGTGCAGTCCTTGAGGCCCAGGGCAGTGGCACTCACGGGTTTGCCTGCCAGCAGAGCGAAGAGGCGCAGCCTGTCCTCCTGGATGAAGCTATCTGTCTGCAGCCTGTGCCAGTCCACCAGCTGCATGCTGAGCAGGTCCCGCACGGGCTGGCTGCCAGCCAGCTGGGCCAGCAACAGGGCCAGCCGGTGGTCACCTGCAGGGACTTTACCTGCAGGGACAGCACAGCTCCCACCTGCCCTGCACAGCCCCTCCAACGGGGTCTGCGGGCAGCCATGGCTGCACCTTGGCCTTGGGCACAATGTGCAGCCACACAAGGTTTGAGTTGGAAGGACCGTAGAGCCCATCTCATCTCACCTCTGCCCTGGGCAGGGACACCTCCCACCAGCCCAGGCTGCTCCAAGCCCCATCCAGCCTGGCCTGGGACTCTCCCAGGGATGGAGCAGTCATAGCCTCCCTGGGAAACCTGTGCCAGTGTCTCACCACCCTCACAGGGAAAAGTCTTCATGACATCTAAGAATCTCAATTTCCCTCTTCCAGTTCATCCCCATTGCTCCTTGTCCTGTCTCTGCAGCTCCTTCCTGTGGGAGCTGATGCTTGTGGCCATGGTCTGAGCTCAGATCAGCACTGAGCTCTGGGGCTGCTCCTGCTGGAGCCCAAACCCCCCCCACCCAGGTCGAGCTCCTCTCTGGGCGGCCGAAGCCTCACCCAGACCAGCCTGAGAGGCACTTCGATGTGCTCACCTGCCTGCTGTGCCAGCCTGCAGGCCTCCCCA